AAGTGACTTTCCCAGGGTCACACAGTAATTAAATGTCTGAGGCTGGATTTAATCTCAGCTTTTCTCGACTCCAGGTCCAGTGTTCTATTCACTGTGCCAAAGGCCTCCCCCAACTACAAGTGGTTGGTTCAACAGAAGGAAGAGATGCAGATTGGGAGAGGATGAGGTAAAGATAGGGAGGAGAAGGAGCTCCTACCCAGAGAAACCCCCACAGAAGTATGGTCTTCTGGGCTCCTATTCACTTCTTTTCTTTTCTTCAACAGGCTCCAGGAATTGGCCCTTTTGCTTCCCCATTTCTATGACCATTAATCACGGTTTCTGCCCAGTGTTTCTCTTCTTCTCTGGCCTACTATAGAATTGAATCTGGACACTGCCCTTTAAGTTTCTAAATTTTTTTGTTGTTTTGTTTTTAATTAATAATGGTTAAACAAGAAGTAATGGGCAGGAAATAAAAACACTGCCTCCTATTTATTTCCCCACCTCTTTCTTTCACTTATATCCCTATAGGAAGAGAAACAAATGATAGAGCATTCTATATAAAAGACTCAAGTCAGGTTCACTTATATCTTTTGAGGAAAAATACACTCAGCCCAATCTGGGCATTTCATCACAGGAGTGAAGGTAGAGTGGAGAAGACTGGTGTGGGGTAGGGGTGGGGAACCTTTGGCCTCTAGGCTACATGTGGCCTTCTAGGTCCTTGGGTGTGGCCTTTTGACTCAGTCCAAGTTTCACAGAACAAATCCTATTATTAAGGTGAGTCCTCCTGGGACGGGAGGGGGTGGTGAAAAGGTAGGATGCTGCCAATGGAAAGTATAGCTGGTAGGAGAAGCAGTGGGGCATTTCTGAATAAAGAAAACTATCTTTTGTCACTCCTGATAGTCCTGCTGCCCAGGAGAGACAGAACGAGTCCTACCCTGGCCAAGGGCAAAAGTAAAGACTAGAAAGGGATGGAACTCAATCTCAGGCACAATTGACTGATGGGAAAAGGTGGTGTCAAGAAAATTCTATGTTGTATGGCTACTGTGGCCAATGATTTGCGACTCACATAAAATAATCTAGTTTCATTGACAGAGGCATTACCTGTATGTACACACACATTTTATATGTACACAAGTGAAATCATACCCACACAGGGACTTTTATTATAGCACCTTTAAAAAACTTTAACTTTTAGTTTTTCTGATTTATCTCCCAGAATTAAACCCAGAATGGGTCTCCAGATAAATTTTTTTGTTGAAGAGAGCCAGAGATAGCTGTATACATACCAGAAACCTTCTGATAGACTTTGGTCCCTAGGGGGGTTAACTGCATACACAGTCCCTCCCTCTCCTAGCCTACCGCCCATCTTAGCCTCAGGGATATGTGCAGTTATGAAGAGCCAGTGACCCTCCCTTGGCCCACTGACATCTCATTGTGGATGATTGACTAAGTCATTACACTGGAGTGAGGGAGAGGGGGAATGCAGGGAAGAGTTATTGACTCATGGCTATTGTGGATCTGAGCCTCACCCTTGGACTCAGGCCTATGAAAGGGAGCAGTCAGATCTAGGAGAGAGGTCAGAGATCCAGAGAGAGCTATGAGGCTAGATAGAGACCAGAGAGCAGACTTAAGTCCCTGGGGGGGAAGGAGAGAATGCCTTCTGAACAACCCTGCCCTGCAGGGGCCCACTCAATCATAGAGATAGGGGCAGCCAGTGGCTGCCTGGAGTAAAGGAGGGAGATTTGTCCCAGATACTGCAGAGTTCCTAGACTTGCTTTCTTATGGAAAAATGGGATTTGTTCTGGACTACATCGAGTAGTCCACTAGAGGCAGCTAGGTAGCTCAGTGGATAGAGTGCTGAGCCTGGAGTCAAGAAGAACAGAATTCAAATCGGGCCTCAGACACTTACTAGCTGTGTGACCCTGGGCAAGTCATTTAACTTCTGTTTCCCTTAATCCACTGGAGAAGGAAACAGCACACCACTCCAGTATCTTTGCCAAGAAAACTCCATGGACACTACTGGCATGCTATGGTCCACTGGGTCACAAAGAGCTGGACACGACTGAACAATAACAATAACAATGAGTTCCTAGACTTAGCCTTCTAGAGAGATGAATAATAGTTCCACTTGAATTCCTGAACCTAGCATTCTGAAAAGAGCAATCATGTGGCTCTGGAGCTGAAAGAATAGTCATGGACAGTGTGGAAGAACATGATATTTACTGGACATTTGACTTTACTATTGCTACCAAGAATTACTTATATGGTCTGACAGCAACGGGGACTATCTTTCTAGCAATGCAAAGTACAATATTTCCTTTCAGGGGACCCCCAAACCTTTGTTTATCACTCCAAATCTAGAGGACTGTAGAGGTCCCCAGAAGAAGGTGAAGGGTCATCTCTCAGTCTCAATTGTGTTTCCCTTCTGAGGAGGTCTCAACCACACGGTAGCAGGGGGAATTTGAAGAGCTCTTTAGGTCCTCGGAGGGAAAGCTGGACTCACCATAGAGGAAAGGAAAGCTCCCCTGACTGTTTATGGGATCCTATGATCTTCTGGGTAGTTTTGTTTGGTATCTGGTATATATTGTTAGCTTGAGTGCTAGCATGGAGGCTGAAGGGCATTTTTTACCCACATCTGTAGAAGCTGCATAGAAGTGACCTCAAAGTCTCTGACACACACTGGCTTTGTGACCCTGTCTAAGTCATTCAACCTCTTAGTGTTCCTTGATCTCCTTAAGACTCTAAGTTTCAGGGCAGTTGCAAACCTGCATTGGCAGAGGCAGTTTCCTCATGTGGGAATTCCTAACACCACTGAAATCACAGCTCCAGTCCCTATCTCTATCCCTTATCTTAATCAGAGAAACTCAAACATGAGCTATATTCTGAGATTCCCAGGAGACACCCTGGGCAGGGGTATATGAGCCAAAGGCTGATGAATAGGAAATCCCCCAAGTTGTTTATGGCCTCAAACATTCCTTAAAAACATGAGGTATTTTTTATTAGAGTTTCACTATTTTTGAACATTGACTTAATTCTGTTTTCAAACTCATTGTGCCACTGGGTTCCACTGTCTGAGGGAACTTGGTCCATGTAAAACCAAAATTGCGGTTTGAGGCCACAGCTTATACAACAAAAGCAGAATCAAAGAGTTTGGGCACAGGAAAGGGTAGGATCAGGGGTTGTTTCTGTGAGAAGGGGTCGGAATTAGATTATAGCAAACCAAAAACACTGCAGGGATGTAGTGCTGATTTCTTTAAAGTAATACAACAGAATTTGATGGCAACACAAATGTAACAATTATGACCTTGAATGTTAATGGATCAAGTGAGTGACAGAATAGATTAGGAAAAAAAAAAAAGATGAAGCCACTGTTCAAGAATTCTAAGAATCTAAGCAACAAATAATTAATGTGTTTAAAATGTGCTTTTGGCCAGAGACAACTAAGAGTTTGGGGTACCGTGGTCAGGCCTTAGAACTGGAGAGGACTGCTAGATTTGCTAGTTTAAGGCCAGTACTCTATAGGGCCTTTCTCCAAAAAGCATCAAGGGAATTTTTTGTATAGTATTTTACAAGCCTAGAGGATCACAGATTTAAAACTGAATGAGGTCTATGACATCATTTGGTTCAACTTCATTTCAAAGATGAGGAAACTGAGGCCCCAAGAGGTTAAATATTTTGCCCATGATCATTCAGGTAGTAAGCAGAAGTGATGGGATTCAAACCCAGGTCCTCTAACTCCAAATCCAGTGCGCTGGTTCACTGGCCCACTGGCCCACACTACCTCCACTTCATTTATCTTCTTATTAAATGTATAGGACAGACGAAAAATCTGAGGCTGAGCCACACTAAGTGATTCACACTAAGTGCCATAATCAGCTGCATAATGGCCAGATAGCCAGCCTTAGAGTCAGGAAGGCGACGTCTGACACATACTGAGTGTGTGACCCTGATTGGTTGCCTGCGTTCTACCACTAAACTACAGAGCAGGTGCTGATTTACATTGGTAGAGGGAGTGTTCTCACAAGCTCACTCTACAATGAGGGGGTCACTGGTCTTTCCAAAAAAAAAAAGAAAAAAGCCATGTGCATATTAATTGCTGTAGAATATGAAAAATAACAGGAAATTCTTTTACTTCTTGCTTATTTAAGGAATTTTCTTCTTTTGAAATAATTTTGGAACATGATTTGCTAGAAATCAAAACAGAACAAAAAATCAGATGTCATTAGCAGATAGCTTTTCAGAGACTAGAAATTAGGACAAGAGCCTTTTCACAACTTTAATGAGGCATTCAGGACTTTGTTATTGTGTTAGATGAAACAAAAGATATTAAGCTGCAATTAACTCTGGGTGCTGGGTGTGAAGGATCCTGCTGCCAGCCTTTGGTACCATTTCCTTCCCTAGTCCAGAGGTTTACCCAGCAATCTCAAAAGTATTTGAAAAGAGCAGAACCCAATCTTATGAGATGAAATTAATAGCAACCAAATTGAAAAGTCTAATAGGGAAGAGGTGAGAATGTTTGTTATTGAAAGCAATAAATTTTGAGAACTCAGGAACATTCAGTCCTCGGCTCTCAAGTTAAATATTGAATACAAGTCGTTCGTGAAAATAAAGCCAACAAAAAGGCCCATTAAGAAGCACCATTTGCCAGAGCAAATGGGATTACAGAATCACAACATTTTAGACAATGTGAACCAATCGTCATCAATCTCTAAAGATAAGGCAGGTGGTTAAAGGGTTGGACAAAGTTTGACTCTAGCACTCCCCCATTTCTGGCCTCCCTCTCACCACATTCTGTTTGTACAACATTTACTACACTTTCCCATTCTACCTTGTATCACAGCCATTTGAACATGCCTTTATCTCTATGTACAGACGCTCCAAGTTTCATGCAATGCCTTTTGCACATACTAGACAATGAATATTTTTTGAAGAAAATTGATTGAAGAACTTTGACCAGTTAGAAAATATTAGATTCACTTTTTAAAATGTAGAAGCGATTATTTTTAAAAAGGGATCTTTACCTGGTAAGTGTGTACTCCCTGAGTCCTGAATGCAGGTTCATGGCAGAAAAAGTACCTATGCATCCACGTAATCGTTTATCTCGACCAATCTTCCACGTAACAAACAGTGGGCTGTGATAAGAAACAGAAAATCCAGCTTACAGAAGTATTCAATCTGACTTTGCAAATATTTCCTGCATTCAACTTCTGATTACTACTGTCATATAAGTTTCATATGCAGCCTCAGAAAAATTGTGTCGCAGTGTCCTCAGTAACCTTAATGACACCAGAAGATCAGACTCTGAGCTGGAAGAGACCTCAGGTGGCAGCTGTTTCCACCCATAGCTCAACAGCATCACCCCCATAATGAGTGGTTATCTAGCCTTAGGCCAAAGGCCATCAGAGCTGAGGGACTTGCTACTTTGTAGGCAGCTCACTGCGCTTTCAGACTACTTTAATAATTCACCTGAGCTCGGTGGCCATGAGCCTAGAGGAATACCTGCTGAAACTCTTTCTTAGCTGGAATTCAAGACCTTCCAGAGATCTCCATTCTCGAGAAGCTAGAAGCAAGCTCTTCTGTCTCCCATACCCTACTGTGAATCAACAATTAATAAGCACTTATTCTTTTATTTTTTTGGGGGGGGCGAGGCAATTGAGGTCAAGTGACTTGCCCAGAGTCACACAGCTAGTTAAGTGTTATGTGTCTGAGGCCGGATTTGAACTTAGGTCCCCCTGACTCCAGGGCCGGTGCTCTATCCACTGCACCACCTAGCTGCCCCAAATAAGCATTTATTGGACAACTACAATGCTTGTGAAGCATCAAGGATATCAATACAAAGAACAAAACAATCCCTATCTCTACTACTCAGACAATAGTGGGCAGCCTTGAGTCAGCATTGGGCCTGGTGGCGCTGGGACTAGGCCTCCTAAAGTTGTACTCTCAGAGACCAGACCTACTCCATCATCCTGAGCCCAACACAGGTTTCTCTCCCTAGACTCTTATTCTCCTCTTCTTCCTAGCTTCTGTCCCTAGTAGATTGGCCTTCAGTCCACTTCGATAGGCTGGACTATGGAGTTGCACCTTAGGATCAAGGAAAAAGAAATCAGGCAGGGTTATAATGGTTTTGTACAGAGGAACATAAATGTGCAGATTAAGGTGAGATGTATGCAAAGTCCCATATATAGAAAAAAAAACCCATCTATAAACTGATAGACAATTACATCCAGCTTGGCTCATGGCTTTAAAAAAAGGTATCAACAAAAATAAAACACATTTAACAAGTTCAAAATTGTATATTTAAAAAAAATTATAAATTAAAAAAACCAACGTTTTAAAGTGCTGTTTAGCAGTATTTAAAAACCATAAAATAAATTTAAAATGACAGTACTACATGAATATGACTTTATACTCAAAATATTTTTTAAAAACACATTTTAGTGTATTTCGGTTTCTTTTAAGATTTTCTCTGCATTTGGACAGGCACTATCTACTTTCTGCTCTGCAGAGTGATGGGCCCATTTGAAAATTTCCTTCCTGAATATGGGCGTGTTTGTGTACACATGTGCTTTGAGACTGCTGGAATAAGGGAAATGACTAAAACTAAGTGGGTAAATCTTGGAAAGTTTCATGGAAAAAGTTAAGTTTTTAAAAGAACTTGGAAGGAAGACAGAGGTATGATTTGGCAAAACCTTGTACCCATGGAATTACCCTGGACATTTCACCTCTGTGGGGCTCAGTTTCCTCATCTGTAATATGAGGGAGATAGAACAGGTGACCTCTACCTCCCTTCTAGTTCTAAAATCTTTCATTTTAACCTCTTCCATCCTACGGAATCCACCGTGTACAGATTTAGAACTGCGACCCTTCTCTGCTCCCCCTACTGCCCTTATCCTTCAGTACACCATAATCTAGGCTATGGCTAATAAATGAATGGGTTGAATAAAACCTTATAAATTCAGACTAAATAGGGTTCATCTAAATGAATGGAAATGTAGAATGAAGGAAATATTTTGAAAAGGCCATTTTGTTATTTACAAGCACATGTTCTACGTTAAAACATGTTAACAAATTATCTCCATGTACAAGTCCTTCTAGAAATCTATTTTCATGACTACATCATAGATATACATGATTAGCAGATTAATTTACATGAAAGCAAAAGTCTTTGAAAAATTTTTCTAACTGATTAAGCATGTTCTCTGAAAACTTCTTTACTTCATTAATATATCTGAACTTGAGACCAATTAGTGACTAGGAATGCAATATTTCTCAATAAACTTCACACATGACTAAGGGTATTGTGTATGTATGCATATATAAAATTTTTTACAGACATAAAATGCTTTAGGTATTTATTCTCAATTGTTAACATATAAAGAACAGTCCTGTTCTATTCACAAGCAACTTTGTTATTTTAATCTCTACAACTTTTAGGAAATTTTAAAAGAAATTAGACTGAAATTGGTCTGCTTCTTATATTTGCACGTCTGTAATGTTCTTAAAGTTGTATGGAATACAAAGCACACTTTTGCCCTCTAGAAATGTCCATTTTATGGCGACCTGCCATACCTCATAGTACTGCTAATACTAGGATCTGTCAAGAAATATCTTTTTAGAAACACTCAGCCAACACTCCCACTCAGCCAACATTTCAATCACTCCATACATATAAGTTATATTGAAGTCTAAAAAATAAAGTTATAACAGCAGGATAGCGCACGCGTGTGCACACACACACACATATGTATATACGATGCAGAAGACAATGAGCATTCCTTTTTACAGCAAACCAAAGGTATAATGACATCTGAAAAATGACCAAGAAAAATATAAGATGGAAGAGGGAAGGACATGAATGAAGAGGCAGCGTCAAGTCGTCCAACTGCCTAGAAGAGGGAATATGGAAAAAGGCATATAGGGACTGGACAGGTTGAACAGAGGGTGGATTGTAGAGGGTCCCATATGTCTGAATGGTTCAATTCAGTTCAACAAATATTTATGACAGGACTCACATGTGCCAGACACTGTGCTCGGCACTATGGGTACAAAGACACAAGTGAATCAGTCCCTGCCCTTAGCCAATCAACAAGTGATTATTAAGCACCAAATGCATGCCAGGCCCTGTGCTGGGGACACCAAGACAAAAAAGACATGGCCCATGCCCACAAGGAGCTCAAGCTCTAGCCGGGGCAACAACATATCCAAAGAAAAGTATAGATAAAATACAAAGTGAATAGAAGGTGGTGGGGGTGGGGGTGGGGGTGAGTGCAGCACCGACACTATCAGCTAGGAATGGTGGCAAGGAAAGAATTCAGGTAGGAGGTGGCTCCTCAGCTGAGCCCTAAGGGACACTAGGGATTTTAAGAGATAGAGGTAAGGAGGAAGTACATGACAGGCATGAAGACCAGCCTCTGCAAAGGCAAGGAGACATAATATTGAATGCCATGTGTGAGGAACAGCAAGAAGGAGTGAGGAAAAAAGGAATAACATGGAATCAGCCTGGAAAGGAAAAACAGAGCCAGAGTGCAAAGGCCTTTAAATGCCAAACAGAAGAATTTGTATTTGATACCAGCGCAATAAGTCAGATTTGTGTTTCCAGAATATTACTCTGGCAGCTTTGTGGAGAATGGATTGTAAGGGGCAGGATGGAGGGGCTATAGATAGAAACAACTAGAAGATGAAAGATAGAGTGGGGAGTCGAAGATGACACCAAGGCTGTGAACCTGGCAGAGCCCTTGACAGAAAAAGGGAAGTTAGGAGGGAGGAGGAGATTTGTGTTTGGTTCATTGGTTTTCACAAGGTGGCAAGTGGTGTGGGAGGAGAGAAGAGAACACATTGTTTGGGACCTGTTGAGTTTGAGATGCCTTAGGGAACATTCAGTTTGAAATTTCTATTGTAGAAGGCATTTCTACTTTACTTAGTGAGCAAGAGAAAGTCAATTGAGATTTCTGACAGTGGCATGAAGGGAAAGACTAAGTCAGGGACACCAATTAGCAAGTTATCACAACAGTACAGGCAAAATGTAATGAGAGTCTGAAACATAATGATGGAAGTATGAGTGGAGAGATGAGAGGGAGCCTCAACAGCATTTGTCAACTGATTAGACAGGGAAGGTGAGCAAGAGGTAAGAATCTAAGATCACTCCTTATAAACTTGGGTAATTAGGAAGATGATGGTATCCTCACTAAAAATAAGGAAGGCTGGAAGAACAGTCAGTTTAGGGGAAAAGATAATGAGTTTAGTTATGGTGTTAAGCATGAGATGCAGACAGGATAGTCAAATGAAGCTATCCAGTAGGCAGCTCAAAATACCACAGTAGAAATCTAGGGAAAGGGTAGAGATAGACCTTCCCTGGGCCCTGCCACTTCTCCAAATGATGATCTTGTCTTTTTTCTTCCCTTCACTAAATTTCCAGCAACTTAGTCGACATTTACTGACTCTACTTCCTCACTAATCCCTTGCAATCTGGCCCCTGATGCCACCAATCTAGTGACACATATTTTCTTCAAAATGGCTTATTTAGACTTCCAGGACTTCTTAATTCCCAACCCTTTATTCACTCCTCATTTTCCTCAACCCTTTCTGCAGCAGACAACACTGATGATCACCTTTTGGACACTGCTCTCTCTGGTGCTTCTACTTGTCAGACTGCACTGGATCATCATATTTCACCCTCCTTTCTCCTCCCTTGCCCTCCACTCCCTACTGCCAATCTCTCCTCTTCTGTAGCTCTGCCTTTAATGAGCTCATCAGGTCCCATGGCTTTGTCACAACTATGCACTTGTAAATATATACATTGTTCCTCAATCTCCTCCCTGAATTTTAATCCCATATCTATAAATACCTTTCTGCAAATGTTCACATGTATGTCCTACCAGTACCTCAAACGTGCCAAAACTGAATGTATATTCTCTTTTAAAAATGTCCCCTCCTTCAAACTTCCCTATTTCTTTTGAGAGACTCTTAATTGGTTTTCTGACTTCTAGTCTTCCCACTCTCCAACCCATCCTCCACAGGGCTGTCAAAAGAATCTTCCTGAGGCACAATTCTGACCATATCCTCCCTTTCTCCAAAATCTTCCGTGGCTTTCCATTACTTAGAAGATAAAATACAAATATTTTCCTTTCAAAATCTGGCTCCTCTTCCCTTTTTGGCCTTATTTCATACTACTCCCTTTCACAAACTCCACATTGCTAGTAAATTAGATGACTGTTTTTTAAGGTCAATATTCCATTCCTCACATGCCTGCATTCTCAAAAGCCAACCCCTATGGCCTGGTATGTCTTTCTCTCCTCTGCCTCTCTGAATCTTTCCTTCCCTCAAGGCTCAGCCAAGGCACCAGCCCTTCCATGAAACCTTTACTCAAGACCTGCTCCATTTTCAGTGGACTAAACTTACTTGTGCGTGTGTTCTATCCCCCAGGAGAATGTAAGCTCCTTGAGGGCAAGGTTTAGTTCATTTTTCTCTTGGTTTCCTCTGTACC